ACAACATTCGACCAAAAAAAAAAACATAATACAACAACAGGCCACCCCATCGTTACATAATACAAAAAGAGGCGACCTCATAGTTCCATTTCCTGCTATTGACAAATTCGAAGTTGCATACTCTTCAAGTGCGGCGACCACGACCCATGAAATTCATGACCCCGGCCACAGTCATGTTGTCCCAGTTTCCTGCCGGATCCACTATTTTTGCAAACTTACGAAATAGTTCGAATCCGCTTTCCACTTCTTGTTGCTTCAACTTGGCCATTTCTTCTGATTCCTTGAATACCATAATTGCAGTGGCAGGGGCAATTTCAATTTTTCCTTTGATTGCCTTTATATGTAGGAGATGCATGCGGGCATGATAACGAGAGCGAATTGTGCGGTTTTTTATGACACCCCATCTAGCTTGGCCCTCCACAATTTTTGAAACTATGTCTGCATGGAGATTTTTCCAAAACATTGTATTGCCTCGACATTGCTGCATGCCATGGACCAAGTCTGCAGTGAGTGAATTGGGTGACTTGCCTTCTGTTTCAATCTTCCCTCCTTCAGTAATTGAAAGCGTTTGGTTTGGTGTGAGGTTATGATCCATGGTCTTCGATATTTATTGTAGGCTGCTGTATGACTTAATTGGAAATAAAGGGATGGAAGTGAGGCTGATGGGGAAGGTAATGGCTGCAGTTAATGTGATTGCCGTTTTCACCTTCCATTCAGCTAGGTTGATTAATAAATAGGCAGCCTTTTCAGCATGGAGTAAATGACAGAGTTATTGGCGGGAGGAATGAGGGGGAGTAATTGGCGGGAGGGATTGGCGGGAGGGATTGGAGGGATTGGCGGGAGGGATTGGCGGGGAGTCTTAGGCGGGATAGTCTTGGGCGGGAGTTATTACCCACTTCACTGTATGACTTTTTCTAATATATTTCTATTTTGGATGTTCCGAACTTGGTAATTTTCCCATTATGTAATTCAAATAAGGGATTTGCCTATTTGCCTAATTGACCAACTCATTCAAATTGACCAATATGGTTATTGTCTTATTTCTCATTTCAGCAATCTCAATTCGTTTCCATGTTTCCATTTTTCATATTTTCCCTATTTTCCATGTGTCATCCAATTTTTCATTATTTTTGCCTATTTTTCCTATTTCCCATTTTCGTATTTTGCAATTTCCCAAGTTTCCTTTTATACTATTTCCAGTTTTCCAATCTTTTCAATGTTCCTATTTTCCCATTATGTAATTAAAATAAGTTGCCTACTTTGCCTAATTGAGAAAGTAAATAAAATTGTCCCAATATGGTAATTGTTTTATTTCCCATTTCCACAATTTCAATTCGTTTCCAATTTGCCTATTTTTCCACGTGTCCCTGTTTCCTATTTCCATTTATCCAATTTTCAGTTTTTGTCCAATTATCCAATTTGCTTTTTTCCAATTGCCCTATTTTCTAAGTTTCCTTTTTTCCTATTTCCAATTTTCCAATTTGCTAACTTTCCTTTTGTTGTATTTCCAATTTTGCTATTTTCAAAGTTGCCTTATTTCCTAATTTTCCAATTATCCAGTTATCCAATAGTCCAATTTTCCAATTATCCAATTTTCAATTTTCCAATTTGCGAATTTGCCTATTTTCCCAGTGTCCTTTTTTCCTATTTCCTATTTTGATTTTTCGAATTTTCCTTTTTTCGAATTTTCATGTTTTCAGAGTTTCCTTTTTTGCCTTTTGCCTATTTTCCAAGTTTCCTTTTGTTCAATTTCCAATTTTTCCAATTTTCGAAGAGTCTTTATTTTCCAATGACCCAATTTTTGAAGTGTCCTTTTTGGCTTTTTCCAAATTTCCAAGTGTCCTTTTATCCTATTTCCTAGTTTCCTGTTTCTAATTTTCCTTTTTTCCTATTTCCCACTTTTCCAAAATTCCAAGCTTCCATTTTTTTTGTATTTTCGTATTTTTGTATTTCCGATTTCCAAATTTCCAAATTCCAAATTTCCAAATTTCCAAATCCCCAATTTGTAAAATTTTCCTTTTGTTCTATTTCCAATTTTCCAAGTTTCCTTATTTCTCATTTTCCAAGTTTGCACTTTTGCTAATTTGCTATTTTGCTATGTTCCAATTTTCTTTTCTGAAATTCGCAATAAATGCTTAGTTACATAGTCCTTGTTTGGGTTCAAATCCACACTTTCCAATTTCCCATGAAGGTTAGCTTTTTTCCGTTTGTCAGCCCATTTTATTGTTGTTAATGTAATGCTGTACTGCTGTGAATTACAGCCAACGAGTTAATGGTCTACTTTGCAATCCCATCAATTGAATGCACCACCTACATACCGAATGTACTTAATATCAATTCCTACATATAACTCAAGCTTCCTATCAATAATTGCAACTTAGCCAACTTCTTCAACCTCAGAAAGGTAATGAGTCGTACTCAAAATGCAAACATTCAGTCGCCAGTGTGAATTGTCCCCATCAATAGTTCAAGATGTCGGATGTACGCCCTCCAAACGAGCATGGCAGTTACCCGGGGGACCAGCCATGGCATGTGCCATTCCCATTCTCCACCTCCGACTCCCAATCATGATCCCACTTCATCTGGAAGTGAGGCTGAGAGCAGTGATCCGCTTGACAAAATCTCAGCCGTCAAGCACGACCTCCAATATTTGTCTAAGGCAACAGATTGGTGGGAGACTAAATGTGATATTCATGGCCAAGTTATGGGAAATTTGGCCAACAAGTTGAACAAAGCATATGCTGGAGAAGTGAAGCAAACTTTAAAAGCAAACAGTCGGAGCAAAGAGTTAGAGTCGTTGAAGTTGAAATTGGAAGAGATAAAGAAAAATGCCGTCGATAAATTCACCAAATCTGAAGAATATAACCATGAAATGGTTGAATGTTTCAACAACGGCTTCGAAATGTTCCGAGATTATGCGTCGGTCATCTCACCAGACTACAATTGGAGTGAAATTGATGTACCTGGTGTCTGGCAGGTGCTGAATATGGGTGCTGAGGGAATGGCTCATCATAGCCTCGTGCATGCAGCGAGGAGAAAGCCCAAAGACATTGATCTTTTCATGGACCTGTAGTAAGGGTAAGTGCTGCTGCAGTTCATCTCACCCGATTACATGGATCTTTTGGTGCCTTCGGTTTTCCTTCGCGGAATAGGATTGTTAAGGTTCGGAGGCGATTTGGTTTGCATGTGTCCAATGTAGTCGTACTTTTTGGATGTGTGTGTATTGTATGTAGATTCACTTCATATTGCTGTTATATTGCGTGTATATTGCTTAATATTGCCTTGGTATTGTATACTATTGCATGTATATTGCTTAATATTGCCTTCGTATTGTATACAAATTGTATGTATATTGTTTAATATTGCCTTCGTATTGTATACATATTGTATGTATATTGCCACCCTATGAGAAGTATATTGTGATCATATCCCTATGGTATTGTACTTATTTGCTTTAATATTGCCTCTACAGTGAAGTATATTGGCCTAATATTGCTATTACATCGTATGTCAATGCCATTTGGTCTAATAACAGTCTCCATTTCGTTCAAAGTAATCCTCAATTCAATATCACGGACAGGACAATTGTTATCCATCCTTATATTACCATGAATTGATGTTTCCCTTTTGAAATGATAGTTGGAGTTGCACATCGATTCATATTCAAAAGGAAAGTAATTCTCTCCCTCAATGAATCGTCCTTCAAAAGAAGGCAGCTTGAAATATTGGGTACAAAAATGCAAGAGCCACGGTAAATTCTTGGGCTCAAACCACATCTTACAAAACCAGGATGATTTTGGCATGCTTGAAAGAAGGGTCAATACAATAGAAAAGAAAATCCATTCAAGCTTGGCCAATGGAATGCCCAATAACCCTTTTACATCTCCTTCCAACACCAGTGGTTTTGCCTGGTTTAGGGTGCCATAAACATGTTTTCTTCCCCCTGACTTTAACTAAATGAACTTTAGTTTTAATTACTTGTAAGCTCCAGCTAGGTCCTTCTGTTTCTCTCTTCTTCCTCTTCTTCTCTCATGACTCTTAAGAGGCAGTTTGATGTAAAGAAAATCCTAAGATTTCCATGTGATGCACACGCAATTGGAATAAACAACAATAACAAATAAAGGGATCATTTCATTAGTGGTTACATTTAATCTTATCTAGACAAATGTAAGAAAAAATACAAATTTTTTGTCAAGTCTCATTGGATGGTACCGTAGACCTCTAGCTCCATGCGGAATTTGACAGAAGAAAACTGATTCGGAATCTTTCATATTTGTAACCACTTTGTTGCTCTTCTTCTCCGAGCAGGAAACAAAAATAATAATAATAATAATAATAAACGGTGTGATTTCAATTATTTTCAAAACATGTATTTCAAACCGTTTGTTTGACATCATAAGGGCATCTCTCACAGAATTAAGGCCATAAAGAAACTAAACATGCTATAAAGTCCACATTATATTTACTTCATCTCCATAATCATAATATTGGGGGAAAAAAACCACGGACAAATACATGAAATGTAAACCAACTCGGTACTGACTCTGAGATTGTGTACATACAACTTGGAACAACCAAACCAATTCCTAAGCCATCTCATACGTATGCCTACATCAAATAACAAGTATGGTCATCTTCTTTAGAATATTGCAATCAACACTTGGTTGAGACGGACCTGCAAAAACAACTGGCACACACATATGACACACATAGATAGAGTTTATGAATGGGAGTTCCAGAATTAAGACCTCTGTTAATTTGTAACTGCCACCGAGTCTGTTCATAGTGCCAAATGCAGCTATCTTGCACACAGATATGACAAGCCAAAGAAAAACAAGCAAAGTAACAAAGAAAATAGAGGATGGTGACTACAAACAACAGGGTTGGTACAAGCATTAAACAAAAACAAATAACTGAAAACCAAAAATAGGCACTGCAATGGAACTACTGTCTCAAACAAACTCAGTCATCCAATTGTTGGATATAATCAAAGAAATTACTCAAAGTTTCTCCTCAAACTCGGATAGTGGGGTCATTTGCTCCTTCAAACCCTTCCTCTTACGGATATCTGTCACAAGTTCTGAAGCCTGGGATCCAGCTTCCAATGGATCAGACATCATCATCTACCATGATCAAAGACACATTGTGGGAAGGCCTGCCCTGAAGTCGAAGCCCTCATTGACCAGAGAACCCAAACATCATGCAATGACGGGTAGGTATGCCTTCATATTGTACAGTGGAGTACCAGCCTCTGCATTTCCTGAAACACGGGCCCACGTTTCTGATTAAGAACCCTAGATACCACTAACAGTCTGCTCTGGAGCTTCGATTTCAACAAGATATACAGGTTCAAGGAGGCTTGGCTTGGCAGTGAGCTGGGAAGCATAGATGAGTGTCCTAGCAGTGGGAATGACCTGACCACCTCCTCTGTGGATGGCATCAGCATGAAGAACCACATCACAGACTTCAAAGCAAATACCCCTATGTTTTCTTATGCCAATGCAAGCTGAATAGAGGTTGGTTCTGTACTCATAATGAATGAGCAAGCAACACCAGCTCCTAAACACAAATCCATCAATTTTTTTCAACAACAATACACAAGCTCCTAAATAAATAAACAAACTCATAAAAACCCTAGTCAATTCACACACATGAAGACATTTACCTCATAAATATGCCTCCCCCCTTAACCCCTCTATTGCAAGCTTCAGTCGGTATATTTGATCTTCGACGGGTCAATTTTATGCACCGCAAGCCCAGCACTGAGATGCTCGATGATTGAACGGTCATGATTCCGCAAGACGTACTGTGAGGCCAATAAGTTGGGAAATTACAACTGCATTTATGTAAAATTTTGAAAAAATGAACTAAATTCACAATTCTTACCCATCTCGTTGTTGTGGCACACCTCCAATGATGCAAACTGAGAAAGGCGTAAACCTCGACATCTGCAGCCCCTTTTGCTTCACCTCTTCAACCTCAGAATCTTCATAAAACTTCATATTGTACAGCACTCGTGCAAGCGTATCGCTAACAGGTTGCAGAAGTGTAACCCATCTTTCGAAGATTTGGTATATCAACATATGAGTCATACACAGTTGCAGTATGTCGGACGAAATCAATTTCGATTGCACCCCATGGGACTCTCGAAGATTAATGGAAAATACACTTTGTGGACTTTTTTCCAGCTTGGGCATACCCGTGTTGCCACGTACCGTGCACAAAGTGATGTACATATTCTTCAGCTTGTTGGCTGGAAGTCACTGGTGTTTGAAGCTGCTGCCTTCGTCGATCCACGTGTCTTGCCAGTCGCTTTTAACGGCTCTAGAAATTGCTGCAGACATTGAAATGACACCATATGACATAATGACGAGGGAAAGCAAATGAAAGCAGTGAATGTAACATGGTAAACGTGTACCTGCAAGGCATAATCTCCATTGTCCAGTCGGTTCCAAATAGCAACAGATGAGAGAGTTGCCGTTTTCCGGATAAGAAAGGTTGCCATTTCCAGGTTGCTGACAGTTGGACATATAATATCGCACATTTTCAGACAATTGTACACTTAAAAAGGTGAGAAACAATTGAATGATCATAATAAGTAGAGATTTGTGTATCTTACCCTTGAGCTAATCCATGCCGTTTCATCGATGAGTTTGTAGAAAAAATCAGCGCCCCTTGAAAAGGCTTCAAGCTGCACCTGCACACTAGAAAAGGCAAACTTGGAACGGTTACGTTTGTACGCATCTCATAATCGGACTTTGTTGATGACAAATATACACATGCATATTAATAGAATACTGGGATTTCGAAGGTCAAGAATCCGAACCTGATATCGTTTTTTCCAGGCAGTGCCACAATCTATTACTGCCTTCACATCTTCCATGGCAGCGGTTTTGATGGATCAAAACATGGCGGGGGTTGCAGTCGCATCCGAAACACTCATTTGTTCCTTTCTTCCTCAAAGGATCAGTAAATGGATTAAATAATGTCTGGGGCCGGGCGCTTCTGTCTACAGCCTTTTACCTTCCACTTCTTTTTTTCAACACTCAAACTACCTTCTTCATCAGCAGCCATACTAATTGTAGGTATACTTGGAGGATTCCATCGGAACCTCCCGATGGCACTCTGTCAGCTATTTTCAATCTTCTAAAACAAAAACTAAGTCTTTGGCAGATTTCGTCACACCGTCCACATCTTCCGGGGGTAGGCCGCTTCTCGGATTGTGCATGCGCGCTGCTTCATGCACTTGTAAGTCAGGAACTGGAGTGACCATGGCTGCGGAAGGTGTTCGGCTCCCATCACTGGGGACTTGTGTTGCCATTGCTGCCGATTTTGTGGGCGGAGTGACATTGTCATGTAATGGCGACAATTCATTGTCACCTCCTCCTTCATTCATATGAGGAGTATCGAGGTCCTCATGTCCTTCCCCAGCTTCTTTCACCCCATCTTGTTTTCGCAGCTGCTCTAGCTCCAGCTTAAAATAATGCTCCATTGATGCCACTGTGTTGCGCAAATCCTCCACACACTTGTTATTTCTTTCAACTTTGGATGACTCCCTCCGTACCATTTCTTCCAACTCATGCACTCTGTTGTGAAGCGCTCGATTTGAACTGACAACTTTGGCGAATTCATCCTTCATCCTTTCAAAGTCACGCTTCAAAGTGCGTAACTCAGTGGACGCCATTTTACCCTGCAATCAGTTATAATGCAAGTGTTACAATATTTCCAAAATATATCGGAACAAAACAGCAGTTCATTTCCTATTGTATTATGACATATATATTGGAATATTGGAAAATAGGTAATGCTTGCCTTAGAAGACGACGGAAGGCTAGCAGTTTTCTTCAATGTCCTCATCTTTTTCTTCTACAGAGGCAGACGTGCTGGTTTTTTGTTCAGCGTCATCGCCAACCAACTCAACAAGTTTCTTCAGTGTTTGTCAACACTGTCACCCCAAGTCCAATACGCCTGCTGCTTGTCAATTACAGATGGCCGGATAAGTTGCACATCAACCTGCAATTTACGCAGACAATAGAAATATCAGTAAACTTATAAAATTATATTTTCATATGCCTAAGATTATCATTACAAACTGAACTAACCTCACGGTTTTCGAAGACTTGGCTCATGAGCTCATAAAAACGCGGCAAAGTGTTGCTCCTCCAATGTAGTATACGAGGGATGTAGGCATTATGTTCGTGCACCACCAAATGTAGTGCAGCCAACGCTGGAAATACCTCATAAACCCAAATCTGGTTTCAGGAAGAAAAGCCTTAGAGATCACATGCTATAACCTTAAATAGGGCATGAAAAGCCAAGAATACAATAAAGAGAAATAATTAGCATGTATTAATTGCAGTCTAAACCTTGCCCTATGATTGACAAAAGTTAAACGAAATACAGCCATCTAGAGATGCATAGAGGCTAAAAGTGGTTCGGGCCACATTAGTCATTAGTCTAAGAGCATTCAACACAAATCAGGAAAAAACAGATTATTTCCTAATATCCAATATCCCCCACTTACATAAAGGGGTGAAAATGTAAACTTGTTTTTCTGACAACTTATTTCTATAATGAGGTCATTAGTGTTAACTTAGGGTTGTTGATAGAAAAACACGGGGCTCATCATCATATTAATGATATAATATTCAGCAAAAACAGAATAATATTACTAATTAAATAAAATAAAACCTTCTGTCCATTTTCTATTCTTGAATTCCCTTCTACCCCTGACCCCCTCCCTTGAATGTTTCTCCCCTTTCCCCATCAATTTTTTTAACTTTGCAAATTATTATATTTCTTTGTAGAATTCTTTTTTTAAATACCACAGCCGCCCAGAACAGCCACCCAATTTGCTCTCTCTCTCTCTCTCTCTCTCTCTCTCTCGCTCTCTCTCTCTCTCTCACACAAAATATCTATCAACACACACACACAAACACAATATCATTAGTCAAAAGAATCTGTCAAAAAACAATAACAGTGGACAGAGTTCCTTTTATTCGTCTTCATCCTTCAACAACTAAACCAATCAATCCCCCAAATAAGTAATAATTACAGAAAATAAACATGAACAAATGATGTTTTAGCTCCTCCAATGCAGCTCTCAATTTCTCTCTCTCTCTCTCTCCTCTCTCTCTCTCTCTCTCTCTCTCTCCCCCATTACTGTTTTAGAACCCATTACTGTAAACAAATGATATTTAACTTCAACAGGAATCAAAATGTGCTCACCTGAAGTGCAAAGGCAAAACCCTTTAGGTGGTACTCTCTTGGTCTACCGGTTGCCGTTGTCTTTACTTGCTTTTCAGATTTTTTTGTTTTCGAAGCTTTTTTCGGCCCTTTCACTCGCTGGTAATCTGCACACAGTGCCCTCAGCAGTGACGCATTTGTCTTCGCATAAGACACAGCACCCCATGGATATTTACCAAAATCTTCAAGGTCTTCCGCCAACTTCAAATATCGCATGTCAATGTGGACATGTTTTTCACTGCCCAACAGCACAAACACAGCGAAGTATACAAAGCCGAGCTTCAATGCATCATCCGCATCAGCGCAGTCGCGGAAGGCTTTTTCTAATTCCAACAGGCTCACTGTTTTATTGTTGCCAAAATACTTCCTTTTCAATGAGCAGTTGTCATTATTGGGAATCGGAATAAAGGGAAGGTTTCCAAACCTTAGCCCTGTGACGACGCAAAATTGCTGGGGTGTGAATTGGATCACCTTATTGCCAACAATGAATTTGATCCCGTTCACTTGGGAAACAGTCTTCGGATCAGCTTTCCTCAGCAACAATCCGTGTACAATTGGCGACGTCCACTTCAGGTCCTCGATGAGTAGGAGATGCCCAAAACAACTCTGTTCGAAGGTTCGTAGCTGTTGCTCACTGAATTTCTCTTTTATCGTACTTATTGCACTCTTTGTATGGGATAGCGCCAATGCTTTTCCTTGGAACTTTTCTTCCTCTCCAATCATCAACTTAATTGGCGAAACCATGTTTCCCTGCACGGCATTATTATTAAGAAAAATTCAGTCCGTTGCAATCTGGACAATAACAAGCAATACACAATTCAACGGCCTATTATAGGATATTAAGTGAAAATTAAACACAAATTACAGCACATGAACCACAATAAATTCCCACACTAAATATGCATCATAAAATGAAACTGAAAACACGCATCACAAACGAACCAATCCTACATGACAAATAGCAACTTGAGGCACTTCGTCATCCATAGCATGAAAATCAATCAGACCAATAGAAGTTTCATCCAAGCATGAAGTAATTCACAGTTAAAATACAGAAATTTGCAATCTCTCTAATTACTAAACTTCACAAAATCAGTCACAGGTTAGTGAAATTATCCTTTTCAAATGAAAACCGTACAAAAAGACAAACTAGTCAATAACAAATACAAAACCTACCTTAGAATCACTCGTTTTGCACACAGACCCGAATTGGAAATCGCAGAAACACCTAAACAAAAGCTGGAATTCTGTCTGTGAGAGGATTGAGAATGAGGAGGAAGTATGTGAAAAAAGTCAGAACCGAAACCAAGAATTTGGGTTTTTTTGAGGCCCTGAAAGAGCAGAGAAGAAGAGAAAAGACGTCCCATTGAAAACATGAAAAGAGAGGGAACTGAGAGATTGTTGAAGGGAGAGAGCATTTAACGAAGCAACCCTCTCTTTCACCTTCAAGAACCCCCTCAACAAACCCTAACATTGACTGCAAAGAGAGAAAGAGAGAGTGCCATTATATTTTCCCACTTCCTTCTTTTATATTTTCTCTTCACAAGGCTTCCTAAAAAATGCCATTAAACTACTTGTCTCTCACTCAGTTTTTCATGTGTCCTTCAAATTACTTGTCTCTCACTCCAATTTCTGTCTCACAAGGATTTAAGTCTTTACCTTACATGATCATTGACAATTAACTAAATATCTACACACACATCTCCAAACACCAGATAATCATGACAGCTGAAGCTACAATAGGAATGTGCAGTAGCAGAAGCCTAATTCAGAACAATTCAACAAGAAGACATCAGGAAACAATTTATTGACTTCAACGTATAATGTCATGGAACATCCTATCAATTAGTGGCAACCACAATCATGACTCCAATATGCCCTCCTTTCAAATGTAAGGAAATTAATGAAATTGGCACCATCCCTTCAGTTTTTCCTTAACAAAATCAGAGGTTTGTATGTATTGTATGTGTTATCAATATCAAAGATAAATGAATAAATAAACCATCAAAACTGTAAAAAATGTTTCTTACACATGTACAATTCAAAATTAAAAGTTCACCTCATAAACAGAGTTGTCTAACTATCCATACACAAAAAAGACAAGCAAAAGCTTAAAGAGTTAGCTTATAGCAAAATCCATGGCCCCATTTCTCTAAACCACACCTGCTGGTGGCATGTTCCCATCTTCACTCATTTCCCACTTTGTTTTAAGCATACAATGATCAAGCACAAAACAGCAAACTTTTAAAGAACTCATATTACACCACATATGGTTCCTTGCCCTTTGTTTAGACATTGAATATTCATCCCCAAACTGAAATTCCAAATAATCACAAGAGAATATGAAAAACATAGAGAACTTATCCATATCCAATATGCAAGCCCTTAAGTTAGCAAACAGAGTTAAAGCAAAACCAATTTTAGTGAAACCCCTAAACCCTATACCCATTTCAGAAAACCCACTAAACCAATTTCAGAGAAACCCCCAAACCCTAAACCAATTTCAAACAACCCCGTCAACCAATTTCAAACAACCCCGTCAACCAATTTCAAACAAACCCATAAATAAAAGAATTCCGATGAACAGTACCTGTTTGCTGTGAATGATGGCGTTGTTCTTCGATGCACAGATTTCGCTGGGAGAGGAAGACAGAAGCGACGAGAGATGAGAGAGTTAGAGCGGAGAGACGAGAGAGTTAGAGCTGAGAGACGAGAGAGTGAGAGCGGGAGGGTCAATTTCAGAAAATGTGTTAGGAGAGCAATAAGGGTACAATAATTTTCTATTTATAGTTGATAGTTATAAAAAAATTAGGAAGGGATGGTATTTTTAGTTAAACTTATTAAAGGGGTGGCACTGAGGGTCATTTCCCTAAAATATATCCCTTAAGCTCCACTCTTCTATTTAACACATATTATACTTCACTAAAGGGAGGAGACAGGTGACAGGTAGAAGGAAAGAGAGAGAAGCTAAAAGAGATATCACTAAGCCAAAAACATAAGGCCATTATGTTAATTATAATATAAGCAAATGTAAAGGTTTCTCCTCTGGAAAAGGCTGAAACAGAAGTTTTTAATCTCAGGTTTATGGAGCAAGGGGTGTGAATAAAGAAAACAAAAGTTCCCAACCTCCATATACCATCACTAATGGATATGATTTGCAAACACCCATCCATCTGCAGCTAAGCCAGCCACAGAATCAAACTCAGCCTCGGCTTCAGAACAATGAAATACCATCAAAAGGAATCAAATTAGGGTATGTCCTAAAACTGCTAACAATATGCATACCTATAGCATACTATATTGATTCTTATGCCCCAAAAAATGAAAGAATAAGCAAAGCTTACCAATTTATTTAAACTATTAATATCTCTTCAAATTCTGCAACAGATTACAACTGCATTTAATCATCATGCCTTTATTAATAGGAAATAAGCGCGCATACCAAAAATTAGTTCTAAAATCGAGCAGATCATCCGCATCTGAACGAAGCCCAAACGTTCTGTGACAAAATGAAGAGTTTGATTTCTGTGAACAGTGGCTGCGAGCCAGTGACAGTGGGTGTGCGTTATTACCCAGTTCATAGAAACCCATAAACCCAAACCCAATTTCTGAGCAACCAAACCAATTTCTTAGAAATCCAGACACCATAAACCTTCACAAAAACCCCACATTTCAAAGAAAATGGTTATGAACAGTACCTCGTCGATGTCAACGATGGATTTCCGCTTGGATGAACGGCCACTGTTGACGGGGAAAGAGCACTGCGTCGAAGAGAGAGAGGTACACCAGGAGAGAGATGGGCTGAAGAGAAAGAGCGAAGACAGTGAGAGAGAGAGCCAATTTCTGAAACTATGATATGAGTACAATAAGTGGGCAATAATTTTATATTTAAAGGTGTTAGTTGTAAAAAAATTGGGAAGGGGTGGTATTTTTAGTTAAAATTAGCAAAAGGGTGGCATAGAAGGCTATTTCCCTAGTTTGTATGCTTGTTTTATTTTGTTAATAATTTTTTTATACAAGTCATATTGGGAAAGGAAAATCGATCCTAGAATATTGGATGGAAATGTAAATACTCTTAGAATATTGGTTCACCGAATGGATTTGATGGGAAATCAATTCCCGTGTGATTTCCCAAGAAATGAGAAATGGTGATTCCTTTCCCATGTTTGGTAATGCCGGGAAAGTAACCCGGAAATATCACTTTATTTCCTTTCCCATGTTTGTCTTGAGTATGAATGGAAAACAAATTTTGTTTAGTTTCCCAATTGTACCCCCATTAAAAATATGAAAATTTTATTAATTTTATTAAACTTTCCAACTTAATTATTAAACATTACACTAATGTCCTATTGATAGTCCGAATATGCAAAATGTCCTATTAAAAATAGAACGTTGCTGCTGGGAGGGTTTTGAGAAATGTGAATTTTTAAAAAAACAAAAAATAATACCCAAGGGGAAATAGAAAGTTGCTGATGTTGGATAAGCTGTAATTAAAATTATTAGTAAGGACAAATTAGTCAGAAAAAAAATGTATTTAATGCTTGCCTTACTTTCCCATGGGAAGGGAAAGTAAAACCCAAGGAGGAAGGATGGAATCACTTTCCCTCCTACTTTCCCATGTCCAAGGAAAAGATTTCTCATGCCTGACTTACCAAACATGGGAAAGCAATTGCTTTCCCATCCCCACGATTCCTTTCCCATGAACCAAACGGGGCCCTACAGCTGCTCATTTCCTCCTCATGTGACAACGACACAACACCAACGACCACATCTCCTCTCCTCTCAAGTAAGTCAGTTTCCTTATTCTCATTCTTCTATCTCCTTACATCTCTCTATGAACAGAGTCACGTTGCCTCTTCTTTTCTCAGTTTCTGTCTGATTTTGATTTCTTCCACAAGTGCTCCTCCTTCTGTGACAACATCGCGAGACAGGGTCGGCGGTGTCATATCCTTTACCCAATTCCTCTCTCATATCAATTTAAGGTAAGCATCCTCTTCCTTTGAATTTAGGGTTTTTTTCGGTTAAATTAGGCTTGTTGAATTAGGGCTTCTAAATTGAATTGGGGGTTGAGGTAGATGATTTTTTCTATTAAATTAAGGCTGTCAAGGTGGTTGAGACTGTGATGGATTGATAGTTTTTTATTTTCTGGATATTTGGTGGGTCTAATTTATTTGATTTGTTAATCTTTGAATATTGATAAGTTTGGAACTCATTTATTGGAATGTATTGGTCTTCAAAGCTTTTTTTTACTCGTGCTTTAACTGCCTTGACAAGTTAATTACGGTGTATTGGTCTTTCCTCATTTATTGGAATGCATTGCTCTTATTTTTCTTATATATATATATATATATATTGGGTTCAGTTCCTTAGTATGTTTTGTCTCGTGCACGTAAGACTACTTTTTCTCTATATTGGTTGTGTTTGAAAAAACAAAAGGAAATTGGGTTCAATTCTTTAGTGTGTTTTGTTTTCTGGTTTCTGGTTTACTTTGTTGGTGGATAGGCGTTATGATTCTACTTTGGGTTGATTTTTTAAACAAATTTATGTTTCTCTGCAATCCATTAGTTGATGTGTAGATTTACAGCAGCTGCTTCTTCTTGGGTAATCTTCATCGTACATCCCTCTAGATTTATAACTGCTGCTAGTTCTTGGTTTTTTTATCTATATATTTCATTATTATGCTGTTAGTTGGCATGTTACTAAATTTTCAAAAAACTTTAATGATGGTTTTGATTGAAAAAGTTTATAAGCTACTTCAGGCCAGGGAGTTATGATCTAAACTAGTATTTGCCAAATTGAAAGTTCGACAATGATTGCAGTGCTATTTTATCATATTTGCTTTTGTATGTTAGGGAATTTTGATTCCTCAGTTCTTTCCACTAAAATACCATTAATCTTTCCCCTGTATTGTAAGGAATTTTGTTTCCTCTAGCCTCAAAGCAAAGACTAGGTAATTTTGATTTGAAATGTGTGTACTTTGATTTCTGTTCTTAGGTAAATTTCTTGATTTAAGTGTTGTTGTTTCTGTTGCATTTAATTTTTTTTTGTAAGTGAAAGCTCAACAACTGATATAAACTTTTAATCATGGTCATCGTAGAAAAAATATAGTGGAGGTTGCTATTGGCTCATGGTTGATTTTGTCTTGGTGACTTGTTCTATCACCCAAAGTTGGAGGTCCTATCCTTACTAGTTGTTTGGGAACATAGAGACGTGGAGATGAATCTGCACTTTGTGTTTCCTTTGTCCAATGGTTCCTGTGAGCCATTTTCATCATGAGTGTTTTGATTTGCTTTCTGTTTCGTTCAATGTATAGTAAAATATTGCTATATAATTTATTTCCTCTTCTTTTGCAACGGGAGTAACTATCTTCATTTTATTCAACTCGTGAAGGTGAGGACTTCACTAGCAAGATACATATAATGCTACAAACATTTGACAATACAAGAAGGAGTCACAGAGGCAGAATAATATGGTGATTTATATATTTTGTGGCTCATGAGTTGGTGGTGTGTGTTTTATTGTGAATAGTAGTTTGAGTGAGTATGTCATGTCAAGTTGGCTGCATAAGAAATACATAAATTCTTGGGAAGAATACGATTTCTTGGATTGTTTATTAGGAGTAGGATGTGTTTAATTGATTGTCGACATAGTTTTTCATCAATGCATTAGAATGGTTAAAAGCACTAAAAATCTATTGTTTTTACTTTTAGGTACTTAAATCATGGAAGAGAAGAAAAATGAAATGACAGAGGTCGTATGGCAATTACCATTCAGATGATTGGCTTTCGCAAATTAGAATGGCAATTATATGGTGCCTATTTGTCAATTGCCAACATGACATGGCTATGCTGTAGCAAAATAAAGGAATTTTGTATGAGCTTGGTGACGTAAGGCATGGGCTGAATTTAAGATTGGAGTGTAGTAGATTGTAGTTCAACTTTTTTTTTATATTTCAACTGTTGTTATTTAGGCTTCAGATCTTGATTGTAGTTCAGTTTTTTTTTCCCTTGTACTTGGCATTTAGTTTGTTTTATTTTTTTGCGTGAAATACTTGGCATTTAGTTTCAATGTATTTCTTTTGATGGACAACTTATCCATTGCCATTATGTGTACTTAGTATGATATTTCATTTAACTCGTGCTTATGAGAAATATAAATAATTATAAAACTATTGATTTGTTTTCTTTATGTTATTGGCAAATTGATTATATAATGATGTCAAATATGATCGTCTATTATTCTCTATAAATGGGCTGAATGAGTTAATTTCAAAGGAAATGACCATAAGATGGAAAGGGCACTGATAGATTGGCTCACCTAAGATGACAAGGAAATAATGCAATTCACAAACAGTAAGTTGGAAATTGAAAAAGAATAATGCAATTGACAAAGAGTGAGTTGGAAATTGAAAAAGAATAAGTGAGATTATATCTTTTGTGGTAGATGTTAATTGTTAGCTTATGTAACTTGGTAGATGTTAATTGTTAGCTTATGTAACAAGTTATAACAAATAGAAAGTATTATGTTATACGGATCGACATAAATAAGTAACAAATAGAAAATATTAGTTTAATCATCTACGAACTTTTATTTTAAGTAACTACTTCTAGTTAGTATTATCAATATTCATGGTGATTTGAGTAATTGACAAACAGGGACCGTGTAATTGACAACCAGGAAGCATCCAATTACATACCAATATGCAATTGCATTTTAGGTACAATCTTATAACTTACAAGTTTAGGGATTTTGTTTACGACGTTTATAGTATTATTATAACCAAAACATTGTAACATTGGTCCTCACTCTTGTAAATTTTTGTGTTTACTAGAATAAAGGCCACTTTTTACATCATAAAGGTCTAACCTTATCAATTCTTTGTAATGTAGATTTATATCCTTGTAAAATAATGATAACTTTATGGATTTGGTGAACCCTAATGTTGTAATCTTAATGCAAAAACTTGTATATCACTATCAAAATCTTGTAACTTATAAGTTTTGGGATCCCCTTACAATGTTATGGTACCCTCATATCTTGAGAATGTAAATATTGTCATGAGGATTTGTAATAATTTTAGGTGTACTTTTAGATGTTTAATTAATTTTTTATGAATTGTATAAGATAAAAACACAAAAAATTAAAAAAAGACACATGGCACATTCATAGAAGGACATTCGGCCGAAACACAGACGACGCCCCATTAACCTTTTGCCAGATGGCGCCATATACTATTAATATTATTTTTCTATTATTTAACTTATAAAAATCATAATAAATAAATTAAAAATCCAAAAATTAAACTGCTACCCAAATTTTGTAACTTACATGTTTAAGGATCCTATTTATAAAGGTATGGTATCCTCACATACAAAGCATTGTAGTGCATGTCCTTAAGCTTATAAACCCTCATATTTACTAGCTTAAGGAGCCCATTTTACATATTTCTTGTAATGTGGATACATATCCTTGTAAAAAGCTTATAAACCATTGTTTACTAGAATAAGGACTCATTTTACATCCCAAAGGTCAACCATTACCAATTCCTTGTAATGTGGATCCATATTATTGTAAAAGGCTGATTTACAACGTGAACCCTAACGTTGTAATCCAAGAGCAAAACCTTGTAAATTGTTACCAAAAACTTGTAAGTTACGAGTTTAGGGATTCTCCTTACGACGTTAAGGTACCATCGGTCCTTAATCTTGTAAACCATTGTTTACTAGAATAAGGACCCATTTTACATTCCTAAGGTCCACCATTACCAATTCCTTGTAATATGGATCCACATCCTTATAAAAGGCTGATTTACAACAGTATAAATTCGGTGAACCCTAACGTTGTAATCCAGGAGCAAAACCTTGTAAATTGTTACCAAAAACTCGTAAGTTACGAGTTTAGGGATTCTCTTTACGACGTTAAGGTACCCTCGTATCCCAAAATTGTAAAATCGGCCCTTAATCTTGTAAACTCTCATTTTACTAGAATAAGAACCCTAATTTACATCCTTATGGTCTGGACTTACCTATTCTTTGTAATTTGGATCCATATCATTGTAAAATAAGGATTTACAAAGTTAAGGATTACGTTGTAATCGTGGTACAAAAACCTGTAAATCACTACTTAAATCGTGTAACTTACATGTTTATGGATCCATTTTACAACATTTTGGTACCCTCATATTCCAAAATTGTAAGATCAACCCTTAATCTTCTAAACTCTTATTTCACTAGAATAAGGACCTAATTTATATCCTCATGGTCTGAACTTACCTATTCTTTATAATTTGAATCCATATCCTTGTAAAATAAAGATTTACAACGTTAAGGATTATGAGAACCCTAATGTTGTAATCATGGTGCAAAAAACTGTAAATCACTACCCAAATTGTGTAACCTACATGCTTATGGATCCTCTTTACAACGTTATGATATCTTTGTATCACAAAATTGTAAAATCGGCCCTTAATCTTGTAAACCCTCATTTTACTATAATAAGGACCTAATTTAAATTCTCATGGTCTGCACTTACCAATTCCTTGTAATGTGGATCCATATCCTTGTAAAATAAGGATTTACATCATTAAGGATTATGAGAACCCTAACGTTGTAATCGTGGTACAAAAACTTGTAAATCACTACCCAAATCATATAACTTACATGTTTTTCGATCCCCCCTACAAGGTTATGGTACCCTCGTATCCCAAAATTGTAAAATCAGCCCTTAGTCTTGTAAACTCTCATTTTACTATAATAAGGACCTAATTTATATCCTCATGGTCCGGAGTTACCAATTCCTTGTAATGTGGATCCATATTCTTGTAAAATAAGAATTTACAACATTAAGGATTATGAGAACCCTAACGTTGTAATCGTTGTACAAAAACCTGTAAATCACTACCTAAATCTTGTAACTTATATGTTTATGGATCCATTTTACAACGTTTTGGTACCCTCGTATCCCAAAATTGTAAGATTGGCTCTTAATCTTGTAAACTCTCATTTTACTAGAGTAAGGACCTAATTTACATCCTCATGGTCCGTACTTACCAATTCCTTGTAATGTGGATCCATATCCTTGTAAAATAAGGATTTACATCAGAACCCTAACGTTGTAATCGTGGTACAAAAACTTGTAAATCACTACCCAAATCATGTAATTTACATGTTTTTGGATCCTCCCTACAAGGTTATGACACCCTCGTATCCCAAAATTGTAAAATCGGTCATTAGTCTTGTAAACCCTCATTTTACTATAATAAGAACCTAATTTACATCCTCATGGTCCGGAGTTACCAATTCCTTGTAATGTGGATCCATATTCTTGTAAAATAAGGATTACAACATTAAGGATTATGAGACCCTAACGTTGTAATCGTGGTAAAAAAAAACTTGTAAATCACTACCCAAATCATGTAACTTACATGTTTTTGGATCCTTCTTACAAAGTCGTGTAAACCCTCATTTTACTAGAATAAGGACCCAATTTACATCCTTATGGTCCGGAGTCACCAATTCCTTGTAATGTGTATCTATATCCTTGTAAATGGGTATTTATAACATTATGGATTAGGTGAACTCTAATGTTGTAATCCTGATTCAAAACCTTGTAAATCGCTACCCAAATCTTGTAACTTATAAGTTTTAGGATCCTCTTACAATGTTATGGTACTCTCATATCCAAACTATTGTAAATCACTATCCAATCATATGCCAATTGCCAAACAGGAAGGGCATAATTGCATGACCCTTATGCAATTGCATTTTCAAAAAGTGGAAACTTGATAACTTGTATAACCAGTAACTAATTTTTTTAAAATCTGAGAGCATCATAAAGGACAAATGGTGCATGGGTGCACCTAGTGCACTGTAGAAGGTGCCATAAGTCCATGTATGTATGACTTCTTTGGTCCAATTTGAACTATTTCAATTTTGAGCTTGCATGACTTTTTTATTAGATCGGATTTGAACTATTTCTATTTTAACAACTCTGAGATCGTATGCCTAGACAGAGATGGGCTTATGCTTTTGGAACATTCCTTATACAAGAGAAGTTGAAATCTCCATCAGGATGAGAAGATATATGGGCTTATGTTGCTTGCCAAAATTATCTAATAGGAACGTACTATTAGCATCCACCAGAAAAGTCAATAAATAAGTTAACGGCAATGTGATATTTGTTTCAACAAATCAGATGAGCAAATCCTGGCAATAAGATGAACAAATCTTTGCAAAATCAGTGTTGACCAAAGTATGGTGCCAAAGAAATAACAATGCAGTAGCACATGCACAAATAGTCTGGCTTTTTAATCTTGCGTTAGAATCTCTGTTCTAAATATCCACGATGTTAGCTCAATAACACTTACAAGAGAATCCTATACATCACAGTATTCTACATTTTTCAGCTACAAATTGGCTGGGAAGGATCACCTGCTCAAATAGGCTTTTGAAAATCTGCCACAAACAAGACTTATACATTAAAAAAACAAAAAAAACAATGTATCTTGTAAATTTAAGGAATGCTAACCAAACTTTCAACCTAATGAATTCCAACGGTAATATGCAGACAGAGTGCGACTGTTACCTCTTCTTGACCAAAAGCTCTTCGACTAGTTGAGCGAAGAATAGATTGAATAGAGTTTAACGCATTCCATTGTAGTTTAGATGATGCTTCCGAGGCAAGAGAACTACAAACGAGCATAACTTGGATATTTAGTCCAGCAATACCTAAAAATTGGCAGGCCAAAAGGCCAAAGCAATAGCTAGCTACTAAGATAATGATTTTACATCATAAAAGTACCTTCAGAGATACTGCAAAAGCTTTCTGGGGGGAAGATCGCCCCTGGGTCTGCTCCATTCTGGCCAGAGACTGCCAGAGCCAGGCAATTTTTACTGTAGAGAACAAGAAACAACTAATTAATAAGTTTAAGAGGCACATTACCAGAGTTGGCACTTTCAAAGTGTACACAATGTATGCCTATCACTAAGGTGATTGCAGAGCTCAATAATTTGAGACTGTATTCACCTAAACCAAAAAAAAGAAAATTTGAAAAGCTTACCTTGACCATGATGGAACAAATTTACTATTTGGTATAACATCGTCATCTTCTTCGTTTCATCATCTGATTCTTTGTATGGAGAGATTTCATAAGACTGTTCTTGATGTGTATTCGCAGCGGACTTCCCATTGTCTATTGCTTTGTCTACATTGCTCAGTACCTTAAAGATCACATGAAGTATCAGCATGAAGCTGTAAAGACAAAGTAAATGTACACGAAATATGCAGCCATTCATGAAGCTGTTAGTAGTTAGTTACCCTCCAGCCTGCAGTAAAAGCTCAGAAATGTTTCTTACACACAGGCCTCCCTAGTATGAACTACGCAAGTAAAACCACTCAACATATGAATACATGTTAACTCAGAGGAGAGGAATGGGTTTAATTGCCTCCTATTCTGTACAATATGCAATAGATCCTAAGATAAGGTGAATATCAATTCTTAAGAAGTCATTAGCATTTACCTCTGTGCTATATCCAAAATTACTCAAGGCCAAACTGTGTTCTTCATGGATAATACTCTCTCTTCTGGCATTACTTGTTGAAACCCTGGAAGTCCTAGGCTCAGTCTCTGAAATGTTCCTGAAAGTGTCATATTCCCTTTCTTCCTCCATTGTCTTATGCACTGTTTCATCCTTAGATTTCTTACTCTCATGTCCTCTTCCATCCTATATAAGACAGTCCAATACTGATTGTGATTTCTAATATAGCAAAAGATAGATTTAATAAAAGGTGACATGGCATGAAGAATCATACAATGGCCTGGCGTTTCATTTCTTTATCTTCTTTTTCAGCAGGTAACTTGTCTTCATGTTCTCTCTGCTGTCTCCGTGCTTCAACACGCATTTTTTTTCTTTCCTTCTCCTTCCTATCTTCCTCTTCCCTTTGTCTCTTCTTTGCTGCCATATCAGCATCTTTTTTCTTCCTCTCTTCTTCTTTCTGTTTCTTTTGCAGCTCTAACTGCCTCATATTCGCTTGCTCCTTTCTTGACCGCTCAAGCTTCAAGGCTTCCTTCTTCATCTTGCGCTCATTCTCTTTCTTTTGTGCAAGACGCTTTGCAGTTTCGGCAGCCTCCAGGGCCTTCACTTTGATGTCCCTCTTCCCTATAAGAAAGCACAAGAAGCTCCAAATACTGAACGAAATCATCGGAGAACAAGAAGAAACAAAGAAAAGAAAAAGATTCCAAAATCTTCACCAGACATTCACAATGATGCAATCAAACAACAGATGAATCATTGTCAACCTCCTACCGACATGACAAGTTTACCAATAAAATACTTTATTACCTCAATGATCCCAGACATGCAAAACTAATTTACAGCTCCGAACATAACACTCCTCGATTCAGTAAAAACAAAACGATCATCCATACTGTAGTCCAGTTTCCACATACCGTTAAGATCTACACTCTAAATACACTCATATGGAATATGTACATGTAATGCAATTCCAAAGTTCTAAAATTGACGGTTCTTCATGATTAAAATTACTAGTAAGAAATTACCTGTTACAACTGCAGCTGATTGTTTCTGTTGAACAAGAGGAATGAAGGAAGTCATACTGGACACAATATTGTTACGCTTAGGCTCCCACTCTGACAAACTTGGACCACCTTTTCTCAAGCTGGTTTTTCCAGATAATTTTGGTTTACGAAGTGGTCCAATGGTCCTCTTAATATCATTTGTTCCTCGTGATATGCTCAGGTTCTCCTTGTTGTTATATCTTCTCTTGATGCTGTTTTGGATTCCATGCTTCAGTTTGAAGCTCTTACTAGTCCCCGTTAAGCTGAATTCAGCGTTTACTGAATCTAGACTAAGTCTATCAGCATGCGGTTCAGCTTTCGAAACTGATGCAGGAGGGTTTGGAATTTCAGTAATGTCAGCAAGTGGTACTCTTTGTATTGAGCTATTTAATACTTCTGAAACAATGCCACCTCGGGAAGTAGCAGATACCTCATCTATATTCTCATTTTCTTCACTAATGCAGGGAAGTTCTGGATTTAAGCTCCCTCGCTTCCCCGAACTGCTAGTGCTTGAACCAGTTCTATCCCAGAGTTTCCCAACTGGCGATATGTAAGGTTTCTTAATGTCCCAACCAGATTGACCACTACGATTTGGTAGGCAATCAGAATAGGACCTTCCATTAAACGCCTGGCCAACTTCCTCACTCAAGCAACTATGACCATCCTTTAACGGCTTGACGGCATCATTCATTGGCAAGGTGATCCTCATATCCACACCACCCTCTAGAAGCCCAGTTGGAACAGACTGATAGAGATTTGGAATTTTGTGCGACTTATTTGAAGCTGAAAAGCATGCTATTGGAGTTTGCATGCAAACAGATTTGCAAAGCTGCTCCAAAATGCTGGCACGTTCAAATGTAGTGCTTGGAAGGTTCCACTCATCAAAGTTAATATCCTCTCGCGCAATGCTTGTTGGTTCGTCATCTGTTTCTAAAACGAACCCCTCAAGCTCAGGCTTTGTATCATCACCACCAATCAAATCCAAGGATTGGCCACATGGAGAACCAACTGAAAAATATGAAAAATTTCTGGTCCCTCCAAGATCAAATCTCTTTTCCTGCATGGCTCTTCCAGCGCAAGTCCAATTGTCAACATTTCCCAGTGTAGGATTATCCTCTAGAGGAAGAGAAACATGGTTTCCTTCTATGCATGGACTTCCTGTATCAACAATAATGCTAGTTGGATGTGCTACTCCTGTTTCCTCCATAAAACAATCTTGAGACGGGCCAGCAGCCTGCTTCATCAAACTTGAGAGAAGTGATGCTTCCAATTCTTCATGCATAAAAGTGAACGGTGCATTCCCACTTCTGTCCCCCCCTCCCACGCTGATTTCACCCTGTGAAACACAATCTTATGCATTAGAACATATTATATAGTAGCAGACAAGCAACCTGTATAAGAGAACAAGTAAACAGAATTCCCAAATAAAACAAGACTACTAAATAGGATAGTAACAATATAAGGGAAGTAGCTTAGCTGAGAGAGAGAGAGAGAGAGAGAGAGCAATGCACAACAGAAAATTGAGTACCTCTTTCATATGTGCCTTAGGTGAAGATTCAGACCTCTCTATCATGTGGTGATCCTCATTTTGATGTGTTTCTTCAACTGGAATTCTACTGACAACTGATTTCACAACATCCTCCTGAGAAATTGAAAGGCCCTGAGATTCTAGTACAGCATTCGGACTATGCTCTACATTTCCCAAGTTTCCACAAATAGAATCTCTATTGATGGTGTGAAAAACCTTTTCTATCAAGTCCCGTGAAGAAGACAGATCATCAACTATTGTGTGCTCAATCTTTCTTCGTTTATGCTGAGGCCATGAACCCTGCATAGAAGAGCTAAAACTTCTTCCCTTGGATTTCTCTGCAATCTGGCATTCAGTTGATTTGGTATAACCTACATCTCCCTTATCACCAATACTCCACAGTTCTAGTTTGGAGAAATGTGTGACTGTATAATCGGCTGAGGCAAGTTACCCTTCATCTCATCCATGGAAGCAGCACAAGGATTCTCAACTGCAAGATTCTTTGCATCCGGGATTCTGAAAGAACCAGGTTCGGACACCATAGTAAAATCAGAATCCGTTGATACTGTAGGATTACCAACGGCATGAGAATACAGTGCACTCTCTTCTGTGACCAATTCAGTTGGTTTTGCAGCATTAACATTAGACAGGCTTTCAACCAAACTTTCCCGGGCTACTTGCAAGCCCATTGGATTATCTGTCAAAAAGGATTTCTGAACTTTGCCACTTTCTAGCAAAGTATTGGCAACTCCATCCTTATGAGCATTGGATGTCTCTTTTACTGATGAGGCAGCATTTTCATTCGAGGCACTTCCAGTTTTACGCAACTGCCCTTCAGGGGCTTCAGATAAACTACTCTGGAGCTCCTTTCCTCTGACGGAAACTTCCCGACCCCCCCAGAAAACTCATCTCCAGTGGTGTGTTACAATTGTCTTGGTAATTGACAGTTATTCCTTCAGCCATTATGTTTTCAGCATGCATCAAGGAAAGAGAACTTTTTTCTGATGACCTTCCCTGCATTCCCTTCTTAAGAGCAGGAGTACAAATTCCATTCAAACAGGACTCTTCCACGTCATCAAAATTAAGTTGCTTGGGATTAACAAAAGCACAATCAGCAGGCTGCCTTGAGTGTAAAACTCCTCCTCCACTTCTAAGCCCATTACCATCCAAGGTAGATCCAGAACGAATAGGATTAGCTTCAATACATCCATCAGGATCAATTTCAGTTTCTCCAACACTTGCAACTTCAACAAATTCACAGGTTTGTGTACAAGGTACCTCTTGTACCATAGTACTGGACATATCCAGATGCCTGATTCCTGCAACCCCATAAGTCAGGTTTTCTGGCAAATCCTTGTTTGAAGCAGCAGATCTGGACTGTGTACCCCTGTGATCCAAAACCTGGGAATTGTCCTCTGCCCCACAATTAATTTCTGCGCATGTATTTCTACCAGCATAGTGATCTGCAACATTTTCCTTGTCTGAAGAATCTGTGAATTCACTGCACTTAGTTCTAGATCCCTTTGAATTGGAATAGACGTTCCAGCAGATATTTGAGTTCTCTGGGCATCATGAGACTTGTTCGATGCAGCAGACATTGACTGGTTTATTCTTTGACCCAATATGTTGCTGCTGGCATCTTTTGCTACAATTCTTTGACCCAGACATGTAGGAGCTGGAACCTTTTGCTGTTCTTTCAACACTACGCACAACTTGTGACCCAGTACTTCTGGAGACAAACTCCACAGAAGAATTCTCCTTACTTGAATGTTTTTCCCCATTTACTGCACTTAACTCTAGATTATCACATGTATCAGGAGGCTTGACTAAGTTTATTTCATTAACATGGTCAGTTTGTAGGAAAGATATCGCACACCCAATAATCCCACCAGCACAATCATTAACGTTGTTCTTAACCTGTGAACTGCTTTTATTGGCACTGTTGCGAATTGCGAGAGCTCTTTGTCTGGACTTGGATCTTTGAACTCTAGCCAGTGATAGATCTGGGTCATGATAAATGTTTGAGGTTTTTGCATCCCCCTGATATTCAGGAAAAATAGCACTTGGATCCTCTTCTCTCTGATCTTGAGGAACACCTTTGGAGGAAGCTCCTGCATTACTAATGGGGCACTGTGGCAAAATTGTAACCTCATCTCCTGCACCTCTAGCTGGTGATAGAGCTGGGTAAGGGTAAATGTCTGACAATCTTGCAGCCCTATGATATTCTGGAGACGTAACACTCGGATCCTCTTCTCTCTGATCTTGAGGAACACAATCAGAGGAACAACGAGCGTTACTAATGGGGCACTGTGGCAAAATAGATACCTCATCTCCTGAGATCCTTGCATCCTTCTGATCTTCTGGAGATGTAACACTAGGATCCTCTTCTCTCTGGTCTTGAGGAACGCCATTGGAGGCACACCCAGCATTACTTACAGGGCAGTGTGGCAAAATCAAAACCTCCTCTCCTTCACTGAAACCTCTGTCAAAACCATGACGTTCAGTGCACAAACCATTTGGTAGCTGCCCACTGTGAGCTGTAGGAACTGGCTTGTCAAACACGGGGCAATGGCTACCGGTAAAATGGATCACGGGCTGTGTGCGAGGGAGTGGAAATCCTAAAATCAGCTCTGGTTTGTTCAATACTGTAATGAACAAATCAAAAGATTCTTAATTAATCCATAGGCATAACATAAGGGCAAGGACATTGCATACATACAGCATAAAATATATACCACATACAGTACAGATGTGTGTGTGTTAGCTCAGGCCGTGGAACTGAAATCCCCTATTCACTGAAGCCATTCTGAGATACTTGTCATGACCAGTTGATGTATCGTTCAAATTACAAATAATATCCCGAATTACGAACTTTCTTGGAAACCAAACAGAGAATTAATAAATCGTTGACGGTTCGAATTATACTAATTCATAATGCAATATTAAAAACCCAGGGATCATATTTTTCATCATCTAAAAACTTAATTGCTACTAAAATCAAAACAACACAGAAACTATTTCAGTCTAAAGAAACACAATTAACAATGCTATTAAAACGATGCCTTCCAAAACCACGCAATTCGAAGTGAAAATGGCAAGAGTTGTAGAGAAATTATGAAAATGGAAGATCACTCTCAAGCATTGTTTGGTAAAACTTAGTAAGAAAAAATTGTATGATTGCGTTGAACTGATAGAATTGAAAGTGGGGAAAGTAGTACGCACCATGATTGGGGTCAAAGGAGGAGGACAAAAGCCATGGAGGAGGGGCAATTCCGTCAATAAGGCATTTGGAGGTGAGGTGTTGCTCGAAGAGGTAGGCCTGGTGTTTGGCTTGGTTGACGATCCATTTCTTCCTCTCGAAGATTTGCACCAACAGCTTCTCTGTCGTCGGCATTTTCACACTTCAACCATGGATTTCGATTCACTGAGTTACAGAGGGAGAGAGAGAGAGAGAGAGATTTGGCTGTTTGGGAATGGACGGTCGAGATAGGTTTCGCGTATTAGCGCGGACTGGTTTTCAAATTTTCGGGAACTTGAGGAGTTTTGAGTTGAGCGGGTTTTGGGCTGAATTAGAAATGGAGGCCCAATAAATTGAAATTACTTTAGACACCTACCCATTGATTTTTATTTTTATTTTTTTATAAAGGACAATTTTCACATATAAAAAAGATTATAAAAAAAACAAAGAAATTAAAAACAAAAATAGAGGAATGTCGGTGTAGCGGAGACAGATGAATGAGGTGGAGTGGGCACTAACCACTTTCCCCTTAATTACTTAAGTGGAATTTGTTTTTTAATTTTGTAATTTAGCAAATTTATTTTTTACAATTATATCCTCATTATATTAGATTGTGGTGTTTGTTAACCATGGGTATTTTCAAAGTTTTTGAATGTTTCATTTTTAAGTTTATTTATATACTAGCCTCCCTTTCGTGCCTGCAATAGGCTTTTTTTTTAATTAAAAAAATTTATTTATTTATTTATTTTAGAATTAAAAAAGATAATGGATAGTTGTATTCCATAAAAATAGGATTCATTATCTGATTTTTTATATATAAAAAAGTGTGAATTCACCATATTATCCTCATTTGATTAATAATTTAAATTTTTAATGTTTGCATTAGCTAAGGGCATTTTATGGTATTTTGAATGTTTCACCATTCTCTGCTTTTTGCTTTATATATATATATATATATATATATATATATAGAAGATTAATCAATCATTAGAGCATCTTCAACTAATATGTCAAATTGTCACATGGACATGAAATGGCAAAAATTGAAAGTTAAACATACTCCAACCGAATAGTCAAATCCGATATGGATTCAAAAACTGGAAAAGATATGTCCAAAATAATATATCAAAAGGCTTGATGTCAAATACTATTTTAAATTTTTTTTAGTCATGGACCCCACTATCATTTACTCTCTTTTCAAACTTTATGCATTATATGAGCCCCATTTTCTTTTAAAAGTAATAAATAGTATGGTATTCGGCATTTCGGGTGAAGTTTAATTTTTTCCAAAGTGTCAAATTGTCACATAAGTCATCAAATTCAATTTAACATTTTGCATTTAACATCTCCAAGGTAGATGTTAAATTTAAATTTGATGACTTATGTGACAATTTGACACTTAGGAAAAATTTTAACTCTACCGAAAATGTTGTTGAGGCCCAAAAAAATCCTAGGCTAGGCCCAAGCTTAATCCCAGCCCAACATGATGCTTTGCCAAAAGAGAAGCCCGAATGGGGTATGTGAAAAGCAAACATGCAAACCCGCCACGCGAAGGGTCAAAACAAACTCGTAAAACATACCAACCCTGTCGTAAAACATACCAACCCTGTAAGCCCACACACATCAACCTGTTAGGTGCAATTTAGTTCGATCATAACCAATTATAGCACAATAAGAATTCAAGCATGAATATGTCAAATAAACACACAATGCCAAGCCAAAATACTGCTATCCTAACTCCAAGCCACGCTACACGTGGGCCAAAGCCCGTAAAATAAGAAACCTGGGGCTTTCTATGAAGGTTGTGGTATGGATAGACACGAGTCTTCACAAAACCTATTGAGAATTCAAGAGATGGAAGTTTTTGGCTACTTGGGAGCATCCAAAACTCAAGCTCATCTCTTGGGCTCGAGCACATGGGCAAGCCATGGAGAGAGAAGGTGGTTCAATGCCTTAGGAAAAAAATATATAAAGATCTACAACACTTAGGAAAAGCCCCTACCAAGGGCCTCGTCAAAAGCCACTTCGAGCAGCTTGACGAAACCTCAAAAGGCTTAGATGGATGCTGAAAATAGGAAGCCTGTGATCCAGTACCTTAGGAAAAAGCCCAGCCCAGCACCTTATAAAAATCTAGCATCGCATCTGGCTATTAGAACAAGTCAAACAAGAGCCACTGCAAAGGACCAAAGGAAATTCACAAGACAAATAGAATACCTATTGGATTAAGGCTCCTACCCTTGTTTCTTTCTTCCTCCATCTTTAGCAGGAAAACCAAAGAAAAAAGTGGGTGGCGCCTTACCCACATGAAGAGGTCCAGCAACGTGAGAACCTTGGAACCCCAAGAGCTTCAGGCCTATGGGTTTAGACTAAGGAAGTTTTCACCAAATAGGATTAAAGGGTAGAAGACTAAGAAAAAGAGGAAGGGAGTTTTGATAAAATAGAAGTCTAAAGTGCCTATAAAAGGAGGCCACTTCTACCCAGTAAAAGACACAATCATCCAGAGCACGACCAAGCTTTTGTCGACCAAACTGGAAGTTCTTTCAAGAAATCCTCCCCTCTGCTCCGATCTTCTTTGTTCTTCCTTAGTCAAAATCTCCCCAAAAGCCTTTTCTCCTTTACTTTAGGCCTTAATTTTATTTAGAAACTCATGCTCTTTCTCTCTATGACTAAATTTGTGAAGGCTTAGCTCCCATGCCATAAGCTTCTCAAGCCAAGCCACTTATTAATTTGTTATGTTTATCTGGTTATTTGTGAAAGGAGCCCAAAGAGTTTTCTAAGGTTTCAACAAACTTTTCAGAAAGAGCCTGGTTCTTGAACTCAGGCACAGGGGGATTTTAGTTTGTTTTTCTCTTACAGCAGCCCAAGCCCATCCATCTGGCTATTGGAACAAAAAGACCCCTACAAATGTCAAATGTCAAATGTCAAATGTCAAATGTCATATCATTTTATTATATTTTTCAAAACATATGGGACCCATGTGATGCATAAAGTATTAAAAGAGAGTACTCAGTAAATGATAGTGGAGTTCATAATCCCAGAAGTCATTAAAATAACACTTGACATCAAGCTTTTTGATATGTTATTTTTGACATCTCTCCCTGCCTTTAAATCCATATAGAATTTGACAACTCAGTTGGAGGAACTTTAATATTAAAATTTTGCATTTCATATCCACTTGGAAATTTTACATCTCCTTTGGAGATGCTCTATTTTCCCAATATCTTCCTCATTCTTCTTATTCTTATTTCTTCTTCAAAACCCAAACTCGCGGGTTCTGTTCATCATCCCAGAAGTCAAATTTCCAAAGCTCAAATCATAAAATTTCATTCATCAAAGTTGTACATTTGCTCCAGTATTGTACCATGTCCAAAAATCAGCATCATCCGATCACTCTAGGTACCTCAAACATGTTCTGACATTTTTGTGTTCATCCACGGCTGGTGAGTTTCAATAAGCTCGGTTGCAACATTTTTCGTTAATTTCTAGTGCTCAGATGATTATGATTCCTTCATGAAATAAAGAAATAAAGAGCGATCATTGTGGATGCTCTAAATAGTATTTAAAAGTTTAGTGGTATTCAATTGTGACTTTTAAAAAGTATTTAAAAATTTGGTGGTATCTAGTTGTGACTTTTAAAAGTCTTTAATGCATTTGGATGAGGAAATTTAAAGGTACAAAGGAATTCATAAATGATGGAAATTAATGTTATAGAATTTGTAAAGTTTCATGTTTGGGTAAGGAATTTAAATATGGAATTTAACTTTTATTTGTAAAGTTTTTATTTTTATTTTTAAACTCAATCTGTCTTGGAATTTTAAAAATGACGACTTTTTAGATAGAATTTAAAGTTGAGATTTATGACCTTCAAATTCCATATTTTTTCCCATGTGGAATTTTTAAATTTCTATTTTTTTTAATCCAAACATGGGAATTGGTTAAGGTCAATTTAGAAATTCTAACTTTTGTCAAAATCCCAAATTAATTTCCCTCATTCAAATGCACCGTAAAAGTTTGGTGGTATCCAAAAACTTAATGACTTTTAAAAATCTTATTAAATGAATGACTTTGCATACTTTTAAGGCTAACTATTAACGAGAATTTATCAAAAATAGCCAAAACTTGACCCCTAATTTAAAAAATGTCAGTTTTTGTAAAATATTTCAAATATAGCAAAAAGCTCACCTAAATAGACACAAATGCCCTTAAATTTAAAATCCACATAAACCTAAAAAAGAAAACCCCATTAGATTGGGAATCTTTATATGTACGTTTGTAGATGTATTGCTACAGTCAAACGGTGAGTGCAGTTCTTCCTGATTCTTCATTCAGTTTCTTCTTCGTTTAATCTTCATACTAAATTATATTACATATAATCCAAAAACCATTGAAAAACAACATTTTTTTGTTGGCGATTTAAACAGAAAATTGTATACTGTGAATTTGAATTGTGAAGCCTAAGAAACATAAGCCAAACTTTTTCCATTCACATCAAGATAAAAGTTTCCTCTGTCTGCAGATTACTGCACTTTAAACTTCCTTGCCTAACTTCTAACTTCCCGTTTATATTTAATTTGTATTTAGTATGTAATTTTCTAGGAGCAGCATTCTGGAACTTATCATGGGATCCCTATTTTATTAACCTGCTTTAGTTTTGTTTGGTGGTTAAAAAAAATGCAAGATCCTTGATAATATTGTTGTTTCTTACTTGCTTCACCATTCATTTTTCACTTTAGCATTCTAATCTCTTTGTAATTCCAAATTTATCCAAATTTTTTATATTGTGTGGAAGGCTAGATTTTGTATGCTGCATATTACAGATTGCAGATTATTAAGTATTAGTTATTTTATTGATGTTGTGCTGGATAATGCCATGATTGTAGCTGAACCATAATACAAGTATAGAAAAGAAAAAAAAAATCAATCTTACATCAATAATATATAGAAGAAAAAATGCACATTTTTTAGAACTTGTACTCAATTTCATGTATCAAAACGGAAAATTCTACTAATAAAATCTCATTTCCCTTCTTTTTGTCAAACTATTTTCTATTCCCTTATCTCATCGGTTTGGTTATTGGAGGATTAATACTTCCTTTTTTATGTCAGTTATGTAATAGGCCCACAAACATTTACATATAATTAAAAAGGAAGTTATT